TTTTTTTAAACACATTTACAACTCTTACAAGTGCCGGGCTCCTATCTGACCCCTCCATTGCAGATCTCCCACCACCACCACCACCCCGAGCCTGGGACCAGCTCTCAGGGCGAGGTTTAGGCGAGAGCATCTCCGTGTCCCCGAGGCAGTGTCCGCGTCTGTCCCGGCCCGGTGGTGGCCAGCAGAGTCCCGTTTCAGGTGGCCTTTTTGCTTCTGCAGGTTTTTGGGTTTGATTATTTTTTTTTTTATGTACACGCCCACGAAGGAATCCCAGTTCCAGCTGCCACCCGGGGAAAGGGACACACACACACACACACGCCTGTTTGGGGGGGTGTGGGTGGGTGGGTGTTACATGGCAGTCGCATGTGCCGAAGAATAGGGGTCTATCCCAGTCTTGGTCATGCCTGGGAATAATATGTAGGCAACTGGAGGTTGCAAACTGGAAGCCGACCAAGCAGTACAGTTACATGGCACGACATAGCCCGGGTTAGTTGGCGAGGGGTGAGTGTGGGTGTGTTGGCTGGGGCAGCTCAAGCTGCCGAACGCCCCGTTCTGGTATCCCAAGGTGGAGGCGTAGGGCAGGGTGCTGGTGGCTAAGGTGTGAGGAACCTCAGTCATCTTCTGAATGGCGCTGGAGCTGAACTGGCTGGGGTCAAGTAAGGAGTAAGGTGCTGAGGTGGGAGGCAGGAAAGCCCTGGCCTTCTCCGGGGAGCTCAGCAGCGAGTCAGTGGCCCCCACGGGAAGCCCGGCGGCCTTTAAGGGATCGGTTTCCCCGAGGTAAGGCAAAGGGAAGACATACCTGTCCTTTTTGAGCAGGTTCTTGGGTTTGCGCCGGGGTCTGTACTTGTAGTCGGGATGCTCCTTCATGTGCTGCGCCCGCAGCCGCTTGGCCTCGTCGATGTAGGGCCGCTTCTCCGCCTCGGAGAGCAGCTTCCACTCCGCGCCCAGCCGCTTGCTAATCTCCGAGTTGTGCATTTTGGGGTTCTCCTGGGCCATCTTGCGCCGCTGGCCGCGGGACCACACCATGAAGGCGTTCATGGGGCGCTTGATGTGGTCGCTGGGCTTGGACATGCTTCGGCCGGGCGAGCGGGGCGGGCGAGCGGGCGAGCGGGGCG